GGGAAGTTGGACCAGTCAAGCTGCCTATATGCAGCTTTTATCCTACCATCTTGCTGTTTAAACATGTTTTGTATCTATTTGGCAATAAAGTTCACTTCACTCCACTTTACAGTGAACTGCTGTGGCTTGCATGCATAGGCGTGTGCAGGGTTCCTGTTCTGGAGAGGGTGAAGGTCCATTCTAGCATCCCCTCCATATTAAGTCAATAAATGGGGCCAATTTTGCACCCCCTCCCCCTTTTAGGTGACTAGGAGAGTGCCCCGCCCCCAGTTTAATGTATGAAGCAGACCTTGCGTCTTTTTTTAGGTGACTAAAGGGAGCGGCCGTCCCCTCTGCCCCCCTCGTGTGCATGCCTATGCTTGCATGGTAGAGGGAAAGAAAGCATGGGGCTTGAATGAAGTCTGGGAGGCTTACTGTGACTTGTCTGTCATCGTGTTAATGTCATTAACTTTCAAAATGATTTTTTTTTTTTTTTTCAAAGTTGTCGTAGCTGGTTTTTCCAGGTTTCTTTAGTTAAGAGGTCAGCTGCTACAATGAACACTCTCTCAATGTATGTGCTGTAGGGAAGATTTTTATATTGTAGGGACACCTTGCCCGCTAGTTTATAGTTCTGCAGTGCTTTTATACTAGTGTCCATGTTCTCTGTGAAGCGTCGCACTTGGTTTTGCTGGTGTTCAGGTAAGGCGTTGCAGGTAAGGCCTAGGAAAAGGTGAAAAAATAGGCTGTGTAGAGACTCGCCCATCTGACAAGATAGGGGTTTCCTTGTGATGAGTGCAGTGCACATTTAAAGTGTGCACCTTGGAAAAGTCAGCAACAGGAAAAGAACGAAGAATGCACATGAACGGGAGCAGAGGCAGAAGACGAAGGCGATGAACATGGCCACGAGGGTGTGAGGACAAAGAGTCAGCATAAGAATGGACCAATAAGGAAAGGACCAATAAGGAATGGACAATAAGGACCAATAAGGAATGGACCAATAAAAAACACTTTTTCTAGTCGCGGCGGGTGATATCAACTTCAGTACAGAAATCATCGAACAAAGGCGGAGAACAGCGTGCTCGAACTTCGGAAGTACGCGTGCAGCCAGCGCATGCACTGCTGTCTTCTACTGTACGTGTGGCTGTCGTTTCCGCAACCGCGATCGTTCTTGACAGGATCGTGTATGACGACAACGTAACTGAGAGAAATCCGAAAGTGTACGTGCATCCAACGCTCGATCAGTCAAAGCAACACCGCTTTCTGCAAACTCTGTGGAGAAAACTGTGGTAGATGCGATCATAGATAACATAAAACGAATTAGTTTTGAAGGCATGTGCGCAGCCAGCGCATGCAAGTTGAAAATGGAACTACTGTTTGCTGCAACCGCCACGCACAAAACCGCACTCACGGTGACGCGATAGCAATCTACGAGCTCCGAGGGCACGTGCTAACGGAGCAGTATATTATATGCGGTAAAGACGTAAAAAAATGCTACAAGCGTTTTCGCGTTCCTGTGAAAAGAATCTAGTTGCGAACAAAGCTTTGACCCGCGCTTTCGTGGCAGCCAGCTCCGCCGGTCCGTTCGTTCACGTGTGTCCCAGGAAGACATACGGGAGTTTTTTGGACGGAAATAGATTTTGCTAGTTGTTTTTACGACAGGAAATTTCGGTAGTATTTGCGCTCCCACTTTGAGACTCTCACCTTAAAGGGAAACCCTATCTTTTTCGCCCCACCGCGGTGGTCTGGTGGCTAAGGTACTCGACTGCTGACCAGCAGGTCGCGGGATCGAATCTCGACTGCGGCGGCTGCATTTCAAATGGAGGCGGAAATGTTGTGGGCCTATGTGCCCACATTTAGGTGCACGTTAAAGGACCTCAGGTGGTCGAAATTTCCTTGCCCTCCACTACGGCATCTCTCATATTCATATGGTGGTTTTGGGACGTTAAACCCCACATATCAATCAATCAAACCCTACCTTCATGTGTTCAGCCACTCCAAGCCATTATAAGACTGCAATGCCGATGCTTGCGATTGGGACCACCCTCTCTCTATTATTTTTCCCGCTTGCAATTGGGACCCCCCCCCCCCCCCTTGACTCTTGTTTTTTGCTATGTATTTCCTGTCTTTTGGTGCCAAAAAATAGGAAATGAGCACCTCCCCCCCCCCCCACGTTGCGGAAATCTGCTGAATTCAAAATCCTTGAACTTGGCAGGTATGCTTCCATAGATTAACGTCTAGAGCTTTACTTTTGTGATCCATTAGAAGTGTTTTACCATGTGTAGTGAACTTTTTATTAAGTGTTTCATTGTGTGGCGATATTCGTATAATTGTTTTATTAAAGTTTTTGTGTTATTTTTAAACACACGGCTTTGTCCTTTTTTAAGACTCTCACAGGCTAACCTAGAGAGATCTTAACATAAAAAGAACCTGCATCACATCCCTTCAGAGCAGTCACGTATTTTTCACGACGAGAACTGCCTTGCAAGGCTGGCCACAGCTTGATTTTGCGAGAAAAAAGAAACTATGTATTACTGGTAATTATTTACGAGAAAATATAATTGAATTGCCTGGAATGCTAGTTTTAATATAGTGTTTATTTGAATTAAAAAATGTAATTACAAGTAATCAATTGCTTGTAATGCATTACTTACAACATTTGGAAAACAAGATTCCACAAAAATTTTGCATAGGACAGATGTTTTTAGGGGTTTTGAATATGGTCTTTTAGAAAGGCATCATGGGTTATCCTATAGTTCTGGCAGGCGTGACAAAATATATGCATCTCGAAGCCAGTTCTCTGCTGTACATTTCTGTTCGTCACCCTGTTACCACTCGGCATCTTTTTCTTGCAGCTACATGATGCTAGATAATGGAATTATGGAAGCATTAACAGCCAGTAATGCAAAGTCTTTTTTGTCATAGAAACACATTATCGTTTCTAGATCTTGGGTAACCAGCATGGCATAGTTTCTATGCATCACACATAACTGGCAGCTCCTTTGTATAATGTTGCAAACAGCTGGGTAGCCGTGTATTCCAGAGAGAGTGAGAAGTGGGATCAGATAAGGTGGTCTTACAGAGGCTAACTGAGTAATGTCACGCACTCTTGTGGGATTTTATTCCAATAGCAGTAGGAAGTTCAAAGGAAGAAATTCATCTGTTTATGGCAATAAGATCTACTTTGCCCTGTGCACTGTATGCTGTGGATGCATGATGTGATTACGTGCGCAGACAGGCAAGTTTGCATATCCACCTCTAGTCAGTGCTGCCCTGTGTCACCTAGCCTGGCTAAGCTGGCACACCCTATCTGGCAGCTATACATTTTCTGGTGGGTGCAAAGATGTAGCAAGCTTAAGCAGCTGGCCGCTTCGTCTGTGCTATCTTCCACCTATTGTTAGAGGTCACGTTAGTCAAGGTTTAGGTATGCATTGAAGAGAGGGGTAATGAGATATGTTTACTCACCTACCTCTGCCAGTACTGTGACAAAAAGTGTTGGCATTTATTGAACAAGATCTGTTTGCTTGTCTGTGTGCGTGGGCACTATACATGTTCATTTAGTCAGAGAATGTTTACTGCAATATATATCGGTGATAAAACTGAGAAGTAAGAACCTTACTGTAGGGAGTTTTCAAGTGCATTGGTGTTGCTATCAGTGCTCTACCTTTCTATTCAAACTGTAGCATATAGGGCACTGGTTCACTAATGGGGATCCACTGACTTCAGCGGGTTTTTGAGGTTATTTTGGGGGACTCGCAAAACTCATGCCTGTAAAAAAAGCGATTTTTGAAGGCACACTAATTCATGACAGAAACTTCTTAGGATTTTTGATATACTTCACTGCATAACAGGTTAGCATTGCAGCATGGCTGATTTATGTTTTACCTTCATGAGATGACTGTAACGTTTCTGCTGCAGTTTTCTCTGACACATGCATGCGAGCATGTGTTTTACAGCCTTGCATATTTGAAATGCAAAAAATACAAATATAGCTGGAAACAGGTTGAATATATTTGCTAACCTCGCAACTTATTGACAAGCCATTGAATTCCTATGTGGCACTTTTGTTTTGATCATTCTTAGCCAGGTAGAAATGAAAGGCACCTATTTCACATGCCACACGTTGTGTTAGTTAATGACACCACCGCCCCTCCTTGCTTTTTTCACTGTAAGGGGTCCCCCATCAGTTCCAAAAGTATACAAGGTGTCCCTGAAACATCCATGGCCGAGAACCACTGATCTAGTGAAACTGTACTAGTGTGCGAACTTTGGCAGGTTGGTTCATGTTTCACAATTTGAAGTACAAGTAGCAATGCAAGACGCAGGAAAAGGGAAGGTTCAGCATTCTGTTTGTTCTCTTTCTTGGCCTGTATCGTGCTTTGTTGCATGTTAAAAAAGAAAACACGAAGGATAATAAATGTGGCGATATGCATCTGGCTTAGGACTTGCATAGGCTGGGCACCTCAACTAATTGCCGCCACAATTTTGAACTTTGAGAAAGCATTATGATTGGGAAGAGGTTTGCCTTACGTAATAGTGTAGGAATACTAAGGGCAATGTTTTATAAATGTCAACAGTGATAGTTACAGAGTAGACGCTCTGCATATATTTACAAGCACATGTGTGCTTTGAAAGTGCTGTTCTTTACAATATAATCGTAATTGTTGAACCAGTATCCTTTTATTTATTGATTTTGGTAAGAAGGTTAAATGTTTGTCTTCAAGGTGTCTTAGCATGACTTGAATATGTTAAGATGCCTACCATGTTGCCTGATTATCTACTCCAGTGCGCTCCTGTAGGAAAATTCTGCAGCTCCAAAAATTACTCCTTATCACAAGTATTTGGATGCATCACTGTAAACCTAAAACCTGAACTTGTTCATAGGAGCTCCTGTTGTGGTACTTTGAGCTGCACACACATGCTGTGTGGTCTGTGTTTCATGACGTAATCTTTTTCTCTTGATGGTATGAAAATCTTTTTTCAATAATTGTGTGTACAGCACTGAAACATTCTCAATATTCCAGATTGCGTTGTCTAGGCTCCACGGCAGTAAACATGTGCTTTGTGGCAAGTGGCGAGGCAGATGCCTTTTATGAATTTGGAATGCATGTTTGGGACATGGCTGCAGCAGCACTAATTGTTACCGAGGCAGGAGGCGTGGTCATGGACACTCAAGGTGTGTGAAACCATCTCAGTACTTAAACACCTAAAACATTGTTGGACTATTCATTTGCTTATTTATTAGAAGGTAAGCATTGGTTTTACTTAATGCCGACTTTTGCAAACACTTTCCACTTTTATCTTTCATTGACCCTTCCAATTTTGTCAAAGTTACTTCTGGGATGTGCATGGTGTATCACTCTTTTATAACTAAGCTATCAAGTGGCTACCACTCCCCTAATGTGGTAGTTTGTGGTGTAGTTGTGAACAAAATTTTCTTTATCTAAAAGTAAGTCAAGTGAATTTTGTGTTATTGTCATCAAAATGTAACTAGCATGTTTTATGTGCTTATCCTCCAGGTGGACCCTTGAACCTGATGCACCGAAGAGTTCTTTGTGCAAGCTCTCATGCACTGGCTAGTACAATCAGCCAAATTTTAGAACATGTTCAGCTGGAGAGTGACTAGGTTTAGTTTTGCAGTATTTTTATATGTAATGTCTTATATTTACTCAAAAAAGTGCTTAGAATTTCTGCTGTGCTTGCATACCAACCCACTGTAGGCACATTCATTGCATGGTGAGCTGCAGTACCAGAATTTCATAATTATTAATATGTGGAATGCTTTAAACTTTATTGTGTATATGTAGTTGTTATTATGAGAACTCAGTATTACAATGTTCTGACAATTATTCAGCAAAATAAACACTGCACATACGGTCTCTGATGAGCAGGCACCATTTTAGTTCCTTTATATTGCTGTGATTTATTAGGTTATTAAAAGTCCACAGGTTATCAAAACCAATCTCAAGTATTTTACCATGATGCAGCTTATGAGTGGCAAATCGTCACAATATAAACACTTCTTACATTATTTGATAACATTTTTTTGGGACCAAGTAGATACGTGGTCATTTCACTTTTTAGCAATTAACTTTTTTTTTCACACAACCAGTAATTTCTTCTATCTTAATTTACCTAAACTGGCACTGCCTTGCATTTTGCTCTGTGTCCTGCTGTCGCTCTACAACACTACTTTTCTTCAAGCTTGGTTAAATAATAAACTCTGCAATACAGCAATGCACATCTTATGTTCACACCCCAATTTCTATTTTTTAGCGGTCTTTGTGACTTGGCAACTATGGCAGTGAAATGTTAATCACAAAGACATGGATATAATTCCCAGCAATGGCATAATTAAATTTTTAAAAAAATCTCCATTTCCTTAAATTTTGGTGCACATTAAAGAATTACACTTGACCAGAAATAATTCGAAGTCAAGCACTACTACATGGCTTATAATATATAATGCTTTTGGCATGTAAAAAAGTAAAATTTAATTTTCCTTAATTTCTTAATTGTTGCTTGTCATCATTGCTAGTCAATTATGTGATATGAATTTTTTTTGTGTGAATTACACGGCATTTTTCAAAACAATGAGCATGCCTTGAACAGCTGAAGACTTATGTGTTCTTGTCCTGATATTGTCTATTACTCCATCTACTTTTTGTGTTACATTTACAAACCATTTGTTGTTTCGCTTTATTCAATAAAAGCTTTACCTTAAGCTAACTTTTTTTTTCTTTTGTGGCCCCTCAGCATATTTTGGCATATATACCAGTAGTGCAAGGGGTGCTGCCCAATGGTGAAGTATGATACTTTGTCCAATAACAATTAATGTGGTCATATTCTTTTGTGTTTGTTAACCTACTTACATTGTACTGTTTGAATTAACATGTGCCATTAACACCACAGTGAGAGCCTCACTCGGTGATCTAGTGGCTAAGGTACTCGCCTGCATTATCGATGGAGTCAAAAATGCTGTAGGCCCGTGTGCTCAGATTTGGGTGCACGTTGGAGAACCCCAGGTGGTCACAGTTTCCAGAGCCCTCCACTACGATGTCTTTCATCATATGGTGGTTTTGGGACGTTAAACCCTACATATTAATCAACACCACAGCGAGAATTTATTTAAAAGGACCCTGCAACACTTTTTCAGCATGATCAGTCAATCAACACCACAGTGAGAATTTGTTTAAAGGAACCCTGCAACACTTTTCCAGCATGATCAGAAAACGCTTCTTATCGGTAGTCTAGGATCCTGAAAGCACGTGAGCCAAACTTTAAAGTGCAACATGTGGCCTGGAATTTACAAATAATTGACACCCAAACAACCTTGCCATATACCCAATTTTATGTCCATTGACTGACTTGAGGATTGTGTGCTTCCACAGTTACCGAATTTGCCGTGGGAGGCCACAGCTTGCCTGTGTACACACTCATGATTTCACTGATCATTAGTGTGCACAATTTTATTTAGCCCTTCTAAGTTTGCTTGTATGAGCGGGCTTAAATGTTTCAATTTTTAATCATTATTCGAATGGCCTGGGTATTTGCATGCCTGCACTGCATTTTGCAGAGCTTCCTGTGCTCTTTGATGCATCTATACATGGCAACGGGACTCAACCGAAAAGGGGCCACACTGCTTTATTGTTTATGGTAATGGGTAGCATTCACAAATTCTTATTCTTTCTGCATTAGAATGGCCAACAACGCTCTTTGCGATGCCTGTCGTTGTGAGAAAATGCTAAGCCACATGTGTCACCAATATTTCTGTATAAATTATTTTTGTTGTCTTTTTTTAATTTTTATACTATACCTATTATTCTTTATCAAGCGAAGCCAAAAAGGTAGTGCTACCTTTTTTGAAATTGTAACAGAGATGCTGTAGAATATGAACGATAATTGAGCACGATAATTTGCTTAATATCCAGCATGCTGATCAAGATGAGGGAAGAGAGCAGTTGCAGCGTGCAACGAATTTATGTAACTCTGCTTGTACTTGACGGATTCCAAAAATTTTTGCAGTGGTCAATTCGTGAGGCAATAAACTCCTGTAATAAAGCTATTCGATGATTACTTGAAAAGGTGTTGCAGCACCTTTAAAGGAAAAAAAGGTTGAGCAGATCAACCGCACTCGAAAAGCACCGAAAGAGACTTCCTGTGTGCTCAGGTTTTCTCATTATTTATAAGCACAAGTTTACGGAGGGTATTCATTCAACCTTTTCATGAGCGCTCACGGAAAGTATCTGTTATAAGAGACATGCAAGGACCATCAAAATACTTTAGCAGTGTCTGTGGCTTCCTTCTTTACTGTTAAGCAAGCAGAGCGGGTATTTTGGTCACAATGCCTCATTTTACTAGTGTAAAGTCAAGCAATGAAACATAATAAAAGATATGCATTGGCAATTATATCAATTAACTATATCAATTGGCCTCTAATAAGTTGCCTTGTCCAGAAATTTTTCGGAGCCCTTCAAGTCTGCTTGTATCAAATTTAGAAAATCAATATTTGAATTGCCTGAATATTTGCATGCCTGCACTGCATTTTTCAGAGTCACTTGCGCTCTTTGATGCATCCTTATATGCCAACTGGACTCTGCTGAAATGAGACCACACTGTTTTATTGTTTATAGTTAGGGGTGGCATTCATGAAGTCTTATTTTTTCTGCATTGGAATGGCCAACTATGCGCTCTGCAATGCCTGTAGTTACGAGGAGACGCTAAGCTACATCCCGTGTGACCGTTCATTCTATAATGTTCAGAGACAGTCTTTGGCGTCCGTCCTAGTGCTCCTTGACAATAGGCCCATCTGTTGAATTTGTTCTTGCATATTTTCAACAAAGGAAATCACAGCTGAAAGCGACCAAGGAACTACTGAGGTTTCTGAGAAAGACCAGCTTAGACAAGAATTGGTTATCCTCGATTGGTTAACCTGCCTTCCTTTCCTTCTCTTCCATTCATTCTCTCTCTCTTATCAACATGTTTATATAAATGGGCAAGTAGGTGAACTGTTTCAGTTTCACGGAGGTGAAGGGTTAATTCAACGGGATAGCAATAAAGAGCTTGTTTTGCAGAAATTCTCGCGTCAGCATCGGTGTTGGCGTGAGTGTGGCTCGTTGTGAGCGAAAAATTATCTTGTCCATGACTGAAAAATTGAGAAAAATGCAAATAAAAGAAATAACAAAAGTTTCTGGACTCAAGTGAGGATTGAACCCAGGCCATCTGCATGGCAAGCAGGTGTTCTACTTCACAGCCAGGTGTCTGCTTGGGTGAATAGCAAGTTTGAAAACATTTAACCCCATAATTGCTTGTGGTTTAAGGCATGCTACCAATACACATAATACAGCCATATGCAAAAGCTTCACTGGCTCTCAACCTTATAGATTACAGTGTAATAATGCACTTTTTAAAATTCTTGATTAACATCATATAATAAAAAGTATGCACTAAGTGGTTGAACTATGCACTAGGGGTACAGGATATTGCTATTTCGTTCAACTCAAAAGCGAAGCTTAAGGGTGCCCCAATTTTTTATTTGTTTCAGCTGTGCAATGCATATGCAAAGAAAATCTCCCCATTTCTCTCGGCAAGGTGTTCGTCAAGCTAGACTGTATGGCAAGACGAATTACAGTAGAATCCCACTCATAAGTATTCTGAGCAACCTCAGGAAAAAAAGAAAAAAAAACTTATAATCTGGAAAACTTATCTGATAACATCTGTAGGGGCATGAATGATGAAAAAAATTAAACTGCTGTTGCACAAATTTTTCTTTTTTCGAAAGTTAATGGGAAGTGAACGCGCAAAGTACGGGAAACCCACCAAAGTCTGCTGCGGTGGCGTAGCGATTAAGGCGCTCGGCTGCTGACCCAAAGGTTGCGGGTGCCATCCCAGGCATGGCAGTCTCGTTTCGATTGAGGTGAAATGTTAGAGGCTTGTGTACTCTGCGATGTCTGTGCATGTTAAAGAACAGACGGTCAAAATTTCTGAAGCCCTCCCCTACAGCGCCTTATCATAATCATATTGTGGTTTCGGGTCATAAAATCCCAGATATTATTAATATGAAAACCTGCCAAGTAAAGCTACCTTTTACTGCCTGGTGGTTGCACTGATAATGAAATGCATCTGCGTAGCACATGTAACCAGGAATAACACCAAGTGAAGCTTTCCATCTGGTTGAATCTTCAATACTGACATCCCTTTATAGTGCACTCACATCCACTTTACCATTTCCGGTCATAGAACAGAAGCTACAAATGAATGTGTTAGGCAATTGCATGTGCCTCCTTATTCATCGACTCTTTTGACTGTAGACCTTGAGTCATGTTGAGCTTGGTTTACCTGTAAGTATACTCAGTAATAGATATGCTCCTGTTCTGCACAGCAGCCTTTTTTCTCGGTGATCATGCTCAGCAGTGACGGGCAGAGGTGAACACGGGTGCCATTGATGGACAGCACTAAATTCTTGGCATGCTTCTGCAATTTTGTTTATGGACATAATTAATCAAAAAAGAGCATAATGAACAGGAAGCTAATGTTAGTACTACATTCTTATAATAACTAAGTGGAAGAGCGCTACAGCCCACAAAAAGCAAGAAGAATGTTATAGTAGACTTTTCTTAAACGAAACCTGAAGGGACCAGGAAGATATGTTTCGTTTAATAGAAGTTTCGTTTACTGAGAGATAGATAAGGGTGCGAAATTCAAGTACACAACCAACTGTGGTTCCATTTAAGCAGCAATTTTGTTTAAGAGTGTTTCGTTTAATCAGAGTTCATTGAAGCCACTACGGCGTCCCTCATAATCATATGGTGGTTTTGTGACGTTAAACCCCACATATCAATCAATCAAAAGTACACTGAAGTGAAACATGCATTTCTGTGTGAATAATAGTATACCCCACAAATGTAGCAATCTTTACTTTGTGCCACTACAAATTCCTTGTCAGCAAGATGCTTGTGCTCTCATCAATCATGTGTGCCTGCTGTTTCCCCTGTCGCCTCACTAAAGTGGGGTCACCTGAAGGCTGCGTACATACTGGACCAGTCGTTAGAATGGTCTGTATTTGAAATTGGCATCACATTGCACTGGATACAATAGGGTTGACAGCTGGGCTAGTTGGTGGCTGATGATTGTACTAACATATGGCAAAGTAGACCACTTTTGATGGCGACAAAGGGGAGAAGGAAAAGCTGCTGTGTGAGTGCCTTGTCTTTCTTGTCATCTTTTCCCCATCAAAAGTGCGCTACTTCATCATATGGTGCACTGGATGTAAGATCACTATCTTAGGCTGCTACTTATTAAAGCAGCTCTGTGTCTTTTCCCCATCAAAAGTGCGCTACTTCATCATATGGTGCACTGGATGTAAGATCACTATCTTAGGCTGCTACTTATTAAAGCAGCTCTGTGCCTGTTAATATATATAACTTGTCCAGCCTCCCAAAGGGAACACTATTGTTTCCTTCAGTAAGCTGGCCCACCTCAATCCTGTATGAATATGACTATTTGGCTGCTGGGTATTGAGCACTTGCCTGGGGTATACATGCGACTTATACATAAAACAAGAAAAAAAGGAGGGAAAATCTCGTAGTATTCCCTATGTAGGTTACGTGTAAGCTATTGGGAAGCAACTAGCTTATATTCACTGGAAATGTATGTTGGCGAGGGAGGCTTTACATGATTCATTTGTGGTGGGTATGCGACACCAGTTTCAGGCAAAGTTGTTTCGCTCAAACCTCCCTCGTCTGTTCCTTTTTCTTTTGTCATTTGGTATGGGTCGATGCAGAGGTGATAAAAGCCCATGCGTATGGCACGTGTCAACATTTCCCAATAAGGAGCAATACGAGTCGGTAAGCTCGCGGTTCTCCGTTTGAACCTGAAATTTGGCAAACACCTTAAAGTATAACTGTTTGATAAAAACATAACTAGAACAGACTCTAGCAATGAGTCAAGCTCATGGCGGACTAAGTTTGGTGGGGACGTTGTGCTAACGGCGCACTGAAATCTGAAATCAAAGCTTCGATCATGGCAAAACAAAAAAAACACGCATTTTTTTTTGTAAACGCAACTGCGGTGTACTTAGACATCCACGTGCGTTTGTCGCAAAACTAGTACCAAAACAGTTATTGCGGAAGGTATTGCAGTTTTGAAGTACCCGCCAAAAATTTAAAATTTACATCTGCAATGACCCTGGAGGAAGGCAATGACTGACGGCGAACACAAGCTAGCAATCTCAGGTCATGCGAGCAGCATGCATATAAAGCGTCATATATATATATATATATATTTTTTTTTTGAACATGTGACCACGCCACACTTGCTGTGGTCAACGATGGCTGGGGTTGATATCGCTGAGAAAGTACATTGGCAACACTGTAATCATCGTTTTGGTTTTGTTTATGTTGCTAAGGCCTGCAGGCAGGAGCGGCGCGCGGGGAGCTGCCGTGCTCCGAGTTTCTATGTGGACCAGACTGAATCAGCACGGTAACCTGTGCGGTGGGTTACTCGTGGAATAATCCATTTCAAGATGTAGCGTTACAGCCGTGCGAATTTCGTGTTTGATTAATCTAGTCCAACTCGAGAGTGGGAGGACCCACGAGCGTGTGCGAGAACTTTTTGGTGATGCCATGACCAAGAAGCCGGACGCAAAGACTAATCAAAATTCAAGGACCGTTGACCCATCAAGTCGTGGAAGTTTTTCGAGAGATCTGGTTTTCCGAAGAAATATCGCCCAAGCGTTGTTATTTAAGCCCTGCCTGCCGTATTGTTTATAAAGGTGCCACCGGTAACGATGGCCTCATCCGTGCACCAAAACGGCAGCGTACCTGTTGCCTTGTCATGCCTGCCGGAGATTGAACAGATCATTCGGAAGTTGGAACATGGCACGCCACTTATCAAATTCTACCAGAAGGGTCGGCCTGAGAAGAGGACCTTCTCGATCAAGCTGGAAACGCGGCAGGTCATTTGGTGGCGGCCAGTCACCGGGCGTACAGTGGAAGAAGGAGCGGGTTAGCAATATCTGCGTTTTGTTTTTTGTTTTATTTTTTTATCACTTAATCATCATCAAATGTTCTTTTTTCTTTATCATTTAATCATAATCAAATATTCCTTTATCCTTTTTCGCTCCCCTGTGAGCAAAACTAAGGCGTGTAGTTTAGGTTGCGTTGTACAATATCCAAAAAACTTGCGTGGAACGCGGAGCCGTTGTGTCATGTATCGTGTTTCGGATGTCGGATTTGCGTTTCTCTTTTTATTTTTCACGTGATAGTCAGTGTGACTGGGTGGCCATTGTTTTCCGGCCGATGAAAAGAAAACGAATGAGAATGTAGTACCAAGAGCAGTAGTGTAACATACCAAGCTATGCTACAGCCAAGTGTGTGTATGTTGTCTCATTATTATTTCTTTTTGATTACTCATTGATAGCTACGTATAAGAAAGACCCTTTTGTACTGAACTGCGTAGCAATACAACTGCTGAATCGATGAGCAGTTGCCAAGTGCTTACTGGTAAGTTTCCAAGCACTGTGCCAGATGCTCTTATCTTAGAATAAAGTTTTAATTAGCTTTTAGTACATTTTCATTTAAACGAAGAGGCATACATTTATCAAAGTGATCTTGAAACAACTGAGTGCGGCTGGCATGTTTTATTCACATGGTTGATAATGTACTTGCGATATACAGTATCATTTCAGGTAGTTACATGTAGAAAGCTTTAAATTAAGGGTATGCTAATTCCAAATCTTCAACTTCAAAATGCGAACTTATAGTAAGACCAAGTGGGGATCAAATATTTTTTAATATAAGTGATACAACTGCGGACACTTGCAAAAAAATAATAATAAGCTCAACAGGCATAAAAAGTCAGTTTTCTGCTTAGCAATTGATATACAAGAAATTTATGCGTTGTACAACACTATTGCTTGACAGTACTTCAGAATCAATCCACTATCCTACATGTGTGGCATGCCTCAATATCATATTGTAGTTCTGGCTCATAAAACCCAAGAATTTAATTAAAAGCCAGTTGTAACTTTGACTGGTATAAAATATCCAGATCTGCTGATAGGGGTGTAGCCAAAAATTTTGGGGGGGGGTGGAAGTTTGACCTCCCATATGTATATTTGTGCATGTGCTCTGTGTGTGTATACATATACATAGTGTAAAAATTTCGAATGTGAAAACCACACCCCTGGCTTTTCTACTGTCTACTACTATCATTGCCCATATATTCAATGGGTAATTTTATCTAGCTAAAAGCTTTAATTGAAACAAGAAAGTTAATGGAGGCAGCTTTCATACTTCCAGAGAATTGCAGGACAGATTTGTTGTGCAACAGATCTTGAAAAATGTTCAAAACCTGTTGCATTCTAATTTCTCATGAGTTCTACCACAAGGAGCATGAACGTATGGCTAGTATAAAGAAAACATACGCTCCTTGTGTATGAAACATTTTAGAGAGAAATACTATAAACAACCTGACTTAAAATCCCATTACAGAATACTCTGAAGGCTTCACTATGACATAGAACGAGCTACATCTCTGCTCTTGGAATAAAAAAATAAAGTCCAGGCCTGTGCAAAACAAGCAGGACAGTCGCAGTAAAAGTGCAGGACAGTCGCCGTAGTGGAGTGCTCCAGAAATTTCGATATCCTGCAGTTCTTTAACGTGTACCTAAATCTAGGCACACGAGCCTCCAATATTTTTGCCTTCATCGAAAATGCAGCCGGGATTCGATCCTGCAACCTTTGGGTGAGCAGTCGAGCGTTATAACCACTAGACCACCGTGGTGGGGCTCACCCTGGCGAAACTCATGGCACTTGTTGCTGACGGGTGTCATTATGATGCTCTTTAAATTGCCTCTCCCTGTTACCACTTTTGGTAACGTGAGCGTTCAGACAATCCACGTGTAAAATAAAATGCATTACACACAGGAATTTTTTCTCATAAGTTTATGTTGGAGCTTTTTGTTTAACTGTTATTATTCTTAGTTTTATTGTTTTACTGGTGCAGTCCTTAGTTAGTAGCTTATTGTTTATGCATTAGAAAAAGTTTGTGAAGTTCACTTTGCCCACATGATTTTCTTTTGGTAATGTTTGCTTGAAAAGTTCTATCATTGTCTGATAGCGTTCAAATATGACAAGCGTAAGCATGACAAGACAAGCTTGACACAAGTTTTTACTTGTGTCATCTTTTTGCACTCAGACAATGATGAAACTCTTTCTTATTTGATCAAATTTCGGTTCTGTGCTTTAAAAAATTATTTTGAATGATGTGAACGAGAATTAAATTTGTAGAAGAGTGGTAAGTTGGGTTAGTTGGTACTGGCTCATGGTGTAACTGTGCGCAAAACGAATAGGAAAACAAGAGAAGAGGTATGCACAAACAGGTGCAGCGAATTTGTAGGTTAGATCCCCATTGGTAGTGAGCCATTGTCTATGTTTCTTTCTCTTTTCCTAATTAAGACTTACACAGTTATGTTATTTTCAAGTATTAGTGAGTCACTGTTGACTCCTTGTGAAAGAATGAGTATAAGAATGCCAGTCCTCATGAAGCTGTTAAGCTTATTCCTAATCTAGCCTGCATTAATTTTAATTTATATATTTCAAAAACAAAATAGTAAATTGACTCTATGACGAGTTTGTATTCTTTGTTTATATAGTTGTTGTTCAGAGCTCCAGTCTTTCCCCCCCCCCCCCTTGTTCTTCCGTCTCAATTCTGTACTTTTGGAGCAAAGACATGCGTTTGGTTCACCCTTCTATACTTTGGTTGTGGGTTAAGGCATTTTTATTTCAGCTTCTCTTGTATTACTTTTAATGGCTGCATGGGTCCTTTGAAAAAATAAGATTAACGAGGGGTGACACTTTGTTTGGTAAAAAATTTCATTTTGAGATTTTGCTATCATCTGATGGAGAATTTTATTAGCTTTCAGAAAATTCATCATCATTTTGGTACTTACGGTTTTAAAAACAATGTTGGGTTCTTTTTCTTTGGCGTGTTCTCGGGAAAAGTGGGTGTGTTTCGATGTGGTCTCTGTGTTTTTCTCAAAACAATATTTTTGGAAGTGTGTATTTTTTTCTCCAGAATTGAAGGGCATAAGCGAATGAGAATTCTCACATGTGTTAACTAGTGGTATTTACATAACAGGAGCCAAAATCAGTAACCTAGTTGTATTTGTATTTTTAGCTTAAAAAAAGCATTAATAAATGGCATACATCGACAAATGTAACAAAAAAATATAACAAAGCTAGTTTTTTTTGTATGCTTACGTTATTACCACTTTTTTAAAGCATTATTGTTACCTTTCTCAATGTTCTGCAATTAGTAGTTCCTATAAAGAAGTGCATATATAGACATTATATACAATTTAAAGCTAATTTTGAGCTCCCACGCAACCCGTGTCTCTCTTAAAAATTCTTTGCAAATTTTATAGCTGTAGCTTGTATTACCACTGCTATACAGCCAAATTTGTAAACTCATTTCCAGCGGGAGCCACAGCAGCAACAACGGCCATTGATCAATTTCCTGCCATTGGCTCCGAGATCGCAAACGTTTTTTGGTTCAACTGGGCCCTGCTAGATGGCTTGACCCGTCTAGTTTGACCACGCAAAAATTGAATTTTTTAACTACTCATGCCATTCCCTATTAGTAACGTCCAACGGTTATTTTTTTCCACTGACCAAGCAGAAAAGATCAAGCAGCATTTTATTGAGTCTCTTGATGCATGGAAGGTGCATCATTTAGTGCAGCTAGATTGATTATAAGTGATTATTTATAGGCGGTTCGTCTGACATCATAGGGATCATTTTGAGAATGTCCTACAACGGCGCATGTGTTCTTGTGCATTTACCT